GCTTCTGCAGGGGGAACCTTCATTGCTGAATTAGCAATGGCTTAACCAGTAGCCTAAGACTGGTTACCTTGTAAGGGCAATGGGTAAACTGGCTTGGCATGGTGGTTGGACTGGTACCAGGATATCTCATTTCATCTCAATCATAAAAACTCATGTTGATGTGTTTAGGTAGTCACATTCTTTTAGCTCGAACTACTCACAGAACTGTTGTTGTGGGGAAAAAATAGGAGAATGCTATATATGCCATCTTAAACTCCTGAACAAAAAAGAGGGATACAAATCGAATACATAATCAAATTGAGTTTCCCCTGGAACAGAAAGCATATATTGAAAGCAGCAGTAGTAAATGGAGATGAATGCTTATTTCCATAATACTAGGTTCAACTCTGTAATAAAAGTACAAATATTAAATATTCTATTTTCATGCTTGTCTTTGGCAGTCGTAATCTTGTATCAGGTACTGTACTAAATGTTACAGGCCAGATGATTTTTATTTTTATGTATCAGGTCCTATTAATCTGCAGAAAAGGATGCGTATATTGGGCTGAAACAAATTTAGTAATACATAAATAGAAGCCCACTGAACTTTGTGATTTAAAGTAAATCATGACAAATTTACATCCCACTGATTTTAACAGGTCTTATTTAAAGTATGAATTTAGATAAGAGAGAAGAGTCTCATTAAAATAAGGGTAAATACTTATTTTGCCCTTTAAAAGTTTAAAATAGTTATTTTAATCATATGTAAATCTGCTGAGGAAATTTGAAAAGTAAATTTTATTTTAGTCATATTTAACATTTTTTCATCTCTTTTGTTTACATATGTGCATGTATTTTATCAGTTATAGTTTCTGCCTCTATCCATCATTTTAATTGTACATTTAAAAATTGTTACAGCCTATGGGTTAAACTAACAAAAGTCATTATTATTACTACTCTATTCTTAGAATGCTATTCCTAAAGAATAGTTCTCTAAGGCTTCCCTTAACTAGTCATTTTGAAATTGCACAGTCTTGGCAAGAAAGTCAGTGTAATGATGGGAAAAATAGAATTACAGTAGACATCCAGCTGTTATTTCCATTACAATTGGTGAAAGGAATGCGGGTTGTATGTATTTTTTTTAAAAAAAGTTTCCTTTTTACTTTCAAACTATCTAAATACAACCTTGACTTTTGCATCTATATGTAGATAAGTATTTATATGTTAAAGGTGAAAACAAAGATAAGAGCAGGTAAGAACCAAATAGTGAGCCTCTAAGGAATTCTTTAAGATTTTAACTGGAAACAGTAACAGCACATATATAATAGCGTATCCTTGCAGTTGCAGATAAAGTACATTTATAAAACAACTATTGTATAAAAGATCACGTCCAAGGTGATTTTCAGTGTATTTTATTTTGGGGAAGTGCCACTATCTGCTTCCACTGTTTTGCATATATATAGTCCTACAGGACTTACTGGCATCACCACAAACTTACTTACTGGCATCACCACAAACTACAGGTATGTCATTAGCTTTTCTATCAGGGACTTGCAGAGCAAAACCTTGTAGTATTCCTAAGAGAATACTGTCTATCAGCCAATCTTATCATTCAGCATATTTTTGGACTAGTTAGCTGTTTAGCAGCTACTTTTTCCCATCTCAAGTGATTATGTACTGTATGTGTACATGAAGTTAATTGCTATTGTCATAATCTACAAACGAATCTGGAGTTTCTGTTTGGGGTTTTGGTGTGTATCAAAAACAGCTTTTATTCAGAATTTATTCACACACTTTAAGCCATGATTTGTTTTAAATATGGTTAAAGCCAGTGTCAGTAATGTATACAAGCAAAATAATTTTGGGGTGGGGTCAACTACTGATCTGTACTCTGTTTTAGTCCTGTTACCTTGTACTTCTATATATTATTTAGTGTACTGGAAGGGACAAAAAAACAACAACAGGAAGGTGGTAGATCATAAAACTTCCATTCACACATCATACTATGCCACAACTATGATCAGTAAGTGAACTACAAATAATGATGTTAAATTGTGGAATGGTGTCTTATATGGAAATAAAGTAAGCATAAAATAAAATGTGATAGATGCACCAAGTAATATATTTCTAAAAGTAATCTCAATTTTTTTTAACTGCAAAGAAATTCTAGGAATCACATTTTACACAACTGCAAACAACTTGAAACCCAAGGATAATTATGTGTATTTCAACTATTCCCAAACAATTGTGTAGTAAATAGACATATGTACTATATGCACATGTACATATGCGTGTGTGTTCTTAAAAAACTTTCAGGGAATATTTTTACAGTGCTTAGGAGATCAAATGAGGATCACAAAATACCACGAACTTCCATCAAAGCCAGAGAGAAAGATGGCCTTAATTTGCACAATACTCCATGTCTTTCCTTTCTCAACACCTAGTAAACAAGGGCCAGCACTTGAATTAGCCAATTTCATTTCCACTGGTCTCTGTAGAAGAAAAATTAAGGTAAAGCTCAGACTAAGGAAGAGAAAGGAAAGCACACAAAACCCCTCTATCAAACGGCCAGAAAGTTGCTAGGATTTGTGTGTGCTTTCCCTTTTTCTTTTCTCAGTCTAAAAAAGAAAAGTAGTGGTTCTTCTGCTTTGACTCTCCTTGCTTCCCCATGGAGACAGTTGCTTTCCCATCACAATGTTATTCTTTAAGAACCAAGCAAGATCTCATTTTACAAAGAATGAGTCAATCCCTTTGATCTTTACAACAATGTATTTAAATTGCTACATTTTTATTAAAGTATCAAAAGTGTACATTTCTCTCAATATAGCTGTACATTTTGCATATAAAAACACCATTGTACAACAAACATCCCTCCCCCACACAATAGCTTACAAACTTGCTATTATTTTCACCAGTTATGAAACTAGGTCCCGCTCAACAGTCCAGCTCAAGTTTTGCAAACAACTTTGAAAAGAGGCAGAAAAGACACACACTCACAACCCATAGGCAGTTTCTAGTACAGTTCTTCAGCACTGGTTGTATCAGACTTAGAAGCTGAAGGCAACAAAGAGCACACATCAATTCACAGCTTTTACATGCACAAGCTACACAACAGATCATGTCCAAATTTGGTTGTCTTAATGTGAAAAAGAAAGAAAACCTTAATACTAGATTCAATGCCAAGTGTAACAGTATGATATTTGGTAACCTTTTCTGTTTCTCTATCAACTCTTCAAGGATAGTGGGGGGTGGGGGGAAAGCAAAGGAGGTGGAATAACAATTTGGTTTTTACAGAACACTTCGATGGTAATGAAGTACTAAGGGGAACCATTAATATACCTGTAATCAGAGTTGCTTTGAACACACCAACCCAATTACTGGCATTTGGGAAATTCTAAATAGCGGCAAGGAGCACAGCAAAACAAACTTTTGTTTCAAGCTATCTTACAGTTCCCACTCCTATTGGGTTTTACAATATCAGAGAAGGAACAAGGCTCTTAGGCAGACTTCGAACAGAAACTTGTCTTCAGAGGGGAAAGCTACAGTGCAGAAAATGTTCCCCTTTGTGCCACCAAATATTGCACAAGTCTCCTAACGGAGTGGCAGCACTATTTTCTTTTAAGCTTTTTTAGCTCATAGGGGATTTTAGTGCTTTACAACCTTGTAATAACTGAACATAAGCTCTGGCCTACATACAAGAGCTTTACATAATAAATTGGAAGAAATCAGATGGACATTTGTGGCGGCGAACATTTCAGTGTTGGAAAATTGGGGGTACAACTAAGTTTCTCTATGCAAGCCACTGAAATGAACCAAAATTTCACAAGGTGATTAACCATGCCCCTTGCAAAACTCTCCATTCATCTCAATAGGAGTTGCTCAGGAAGAGAACACCCCAGCAAGTTCATGCCTTTCCCCCCCAAAAAAAAAGGAACTGTAATGTGTTCTTTTTAGAAAAAGAAAAAACTTTCACACCCCATTAAAAAATATGCCATTCTAGATTTTAGATTACCTACTCCAACCTCTGACTATTCAAGGACATTTTAGGAATCAGTTGAGCAGTTTTCAGGAGAAAAATTAATAGTCATTTTGCAAATACGAAATAACTCTTCGTCCGAGTGCCCAAATGTTAGGATCTATATTGCACAGTATCTGAGAACTCAATTCAAACAGGCCAAGGAAGAGCTCTGGAGAAGCAAATGAAGAAAAACCAAGCCAATCATGTGCTCTGAAGACTTTTTTTTAAAAAAAAGTTAAGTGCCCTGGTTTTGTAATTACTTCTCCGCAATTATTGGCAGCATTGTCAGGAATTTTACAAGATTGTATTAAAGGCAGTGGAATAGACAAAACTGTGATGAAGCCATGCTTTCAGTAGCTATAGTTCATATTGGCCTGGCCATTGCACTTTTGTTGACAGGAGTTAACTGTTAAGAGTAACCAGCCAGCCAGTTACACAGATCACATCCTAAACCCTTTTATCAACAAAATTCCATGTACAGAAACCACATGTTCAGGCACCAATAGGAATTTAACATGAGTATGAAATTTAGGATCAAGTGCAGAAAGAATTGGTTTTTTGTGCAAAATTATGGGCAGATTTTTAGCAACCCATCACCCACTGGACAAAAACGAAAATTGCTGTTGTGACTGGGTGGTCTAAGTAAAATGTTTATGCTATAAAAAGACAAAACTGTTGCTGAAAATTAGAACATGACATAAAGCTGGTGATGTAGTAGCTTGTCAGTATAACCAAATGAAAAGGAACATTTTATGGGGGAAAAGCACCATGGCTAGAATGAAGTCATACCATTGTGATCCACATGCACAGCTCTGCACTAACTACCATCCTGACCTGTAGATTCACAGTTATAGTAGCATTTACCCCATCGTTTGTCGCTGTTCAAAAGTGCTAAGCCCTGCCCAACCCCTGTACTTTTATTTTTAACCCTGCATTTCCCAAACAGGCAGGTCAACATTCCAGAATTGTCAATCCAATGCTAATTAGGTAGATATTGGCTTTTTTTTTTAATAAACTTGCAAGCCTGCAGACAGCTTTTAAAAGGCACCTTAGCACCACTCTACAAAAGAGTAGTACCTGCTACTAAATTTCAATTTGGATTTCCTTTGTTAAAAAAAAATATAAATAGCTCTTCATTTTTTAAAAAAAATACATCCTCAAGTTGAGGTATACAGTAGCCCATGTCTTGGCAAAGTAAGGATAGCAAGGAGTGTTTAGCTGGAGACGGTCATCATGTAGCTTTTGGAAGGGCTGGTGCGCCCCAGCATCATTTGATTTTTGCAGGTGAGCATCCCGTAGGAGCTCACAGGTGCCGCCGATGCTTCATACAGAACGCAGATGGATCCATCCTCCCCTATTCGGTAGGATACTTCATAAGGGTCTATCCAGAGTGTGAGTTCACTGGGCAAGAGCTGGTAGAGTTGCTGAAGGCTGAGTCCAATCTGGCTAGCTGCTTTGCTGATGATGGGGTCCATTTTATGATTGATACGGATGCAGCGGTAGCCAGACCCTTTGAACGGTTTCTCGGGGAACCAGTGATGTTTGTAATGCTCTGCAAAGGAACAAGAAAAATATCACAAATGGTAAGAGATGACTGGAGTTAATGGCCAAACAAAAGGTAAAATACATTTTACACACAAAGAAACGTTCAGGTAAAATTGGTGGCAAAATGCATTTTTTTTAAAAAAGTAATGTTTTGGGTCTGAGTTAATCAAACTCTCATTTTCTTCAAGCAGTAATATTAAAGTTCTAGAATTAGAGAATCTTAAGGATGGAAGGATCTTGGAGTTCTTCTGGTACAATCCCTTCACAATGTATGATGCACTAGGGTATCTCTGATAGATGATCACCCAGGCTCTGACCTCCAGGTCCCTTTTTCTTTTAAAGAATGACAGCACAATAAAGAGTTAAATGGTTGGTGGAGGGGGAAAAAAAGTCGGTTCCAATAAGAACTGTAAAATAATCCCTACACAGAGAACAAATAAAACCAATTTATCCAAAATATGGCAGTAAATACCCTTTGAAATTCAAATAACAAAAACTCCAAAGCTGGGGGGGGGAGTCCAGAAGGTTTAAACTAAACGCAATGGCCATAGCATTCGGTAATTATTGAAATCTTCTTAGCAGAAAATGCAGTTAGTGTATAGCCAGAGCAATCTCCTCTGCACTTCAAGTATACAGCTCTATCCCATAATAAATTTGGTTATAAAGCCTTTCTGAGTATATTTTACACTGAGTAGCCCAATAGTGTAACCAGATGAAGAGAGCCCTGTTACCTGAAACTTAGCTGCAGTCTTAAGTAGCATGCCTGAAATTCTGCACTTTCCCCCTGACGTGGAAGTAAGGCCTGCTGAATGGAATGGTGCTTTTAAGGGGGTTGTGGGGGAACCCTTCAGATATGACTTTTAAGACTTAAATACACAGTCATTCCATTCTCATCCCAGGGCTTCAAATGATTTGTAGAATCGCACTTTTCAACTTCAGAAAAATGCCCAGTATGCAAATTCTCTGCAACTGGCCATACCAGCCCCCAAGAGAAATCCTCAAGGGTTCATCTGCATAAGATCTATTTATTCTTATGCTCTACATTTCTCCCTTTTGTTTTGCTGAGCCTGATGTCTCTGCATAGTCGCTTTCCAATAATAGACTATGAAAGCTAGTTTCCTTGTTCTATCTAGTTTGATCTAGTAAAATCTAGTTTCCTTGGTCACCAGAACAAAGGACACTTTTTTCCAGTCTAATTTAGGACACAGATTTTCAATCCCAGGGCTGCAGTGCAGTAATCCCCAATGTGGCGCCTCTAAAAGCACTGGATTATAGTTCTCATACTGTTGGGAAAAGACAGATTGGTAAAGACAGATTACAGTCGCAGGGTGGGGAGATAATTTGTCACTAATCTGAGTCAGACATAGGCTTGCTATCCAGGAGTAGCTATTAGAGGAAAATATATTTTAAAGAATAATTGTGGAGATTTAAAAAAAAAAAAAAAAAAACAATGCAAAGGACAGGCAAAGATTGAATGCGAAAATAAGTACTTTGTGTGGTAGAAGGAAATTCACAGATTAAACTAAAGATGGGAAGAAAGGAAAGAAGTAAAAGAAAATCAACGGTCCAGTGAACATCCCATTTTTTTTTTCGAGGGACAGAAAAGTTAAGTTTGATTTCCCCAGACGTGGTCTTCAACGATCCCTAAGGTACACTTCAAAGAGGCGCCGTCTCTCACCTGTAAGCGCCTCTCCCAGAGCCTCACTGAAAATCTGAAGTTGCTGTTCACTAACGCAGCCGCGGGTGCGGAATAAGCTGGACACAAAGCCTACGGCGGCGGCGATCTCCGGTACCATGTCCGCCCGGCTGTTGTTAACGTAGCTTCCATTCCAGCGCTGGCCTTGGCTCATGTCTGGCTTCGTATAAAGTTAGCTCGGTGCCCCCTTAAGGCTCCGTAGTGCTTAGAGAAAGGGGACAAAAACACGGAAACGACGAAGTAATTGGCCGCTCCGGCAGTTCGTGGCAGACCCGCCTGCGGCAGAAGCGACTGCTTAACGATGAGTTTCGAGAAGGCTGCTCTCACGTCCGCCACTCGCCTTCTATTGGACATGCTCCTACTACAAACACGACTCTTAATAATCTTGGATATTGCAGCCGTCACTAGATGGCTCGCTTCTGATTGGCTGAGCTCTCCTTGATATGCTAATAGGAGGTGACCTCAGCAGGGTGGAAGTAGTGACGTGAGTACTGGGAAAGTCACGCCTTGAGAACATGGCCAAAGCAGCTGGAGGGGGGAGGGAAGGGGAAAGCGCCTGGTTTTGGGGCTATTAATAGGGCTTTGCCTAGCAGGAGAGAAATTGTACCTTGTCACTAGCGCTGTTTAAGAGTTTGAAAAATAATTACCGCAGCTACTTATTATCAAAAGACCACAAGGAGATCAGGACTTTGTCAACGGTTCCGTATTCCCAAACTGAAATACGTTAAAGGTATATCATCTTGTCTGTTCACCCATTTTAACAAAGACTTTGTAAAATAAAATGGGATGGACCTCTCAGCAGTTTGTGCTAGAATACATCTGTTAATCTTTTAAGATAGCAATATAGTCTGCTCTTGCGTTTGTTGTGATAGGTTCAGGCTGCTGCTACTCAGGAAATTAATTCAGATTCATGTGTGGGAATAAGGTTAGGCTGTCCTTTTTTAAAAGAATAAGTTGGCTGGGGAGATGCTTTAAGTTGTATTCACGCCTTTCTTTCTTTGGAACATTGCAGCATGAATTAAAACTAGTTGTCGACGACAAATAAGCAATTTTGTATCTGTAAAAGATTGTACCAGTTGAAGCTGAGGTTACAATTAATGGTATACGTTTAAATTATACACTGGAAATGTTGCATAGCTCATCAGGTTGAGCACAAAAACAACATAATCCAGAATTCAAGTCAAAAAGCATAAATGCCTGATCATAAACAGTTATCTTTATGTTTTTGTTTCACTCAACTTCCCCCCCAACTCAAAGTATAAAGTTGTTGCCTACTCTCATTATATAATAACCCTATAATGGAAGATCCACTGAGAATAATGGCTAGAACATAGAACATAGAATAATAGGGTTGAAAGGGACTTTGGAGGTCTTGTAGTCCAACCCGTTACTCAAGAAGGAGACCCTGTACTATTCTGGACAAATGGCTGTCCAGTCTGTTCTTGAAAACCTCCAGTGTTGGAGCACCCACAACTTCTGGAAGCAAGTCATTCCACTGATTAATTGTTCTCCCTGTCAGGAAATTTCTTCTTAGTTCTAGGTTGCTTCTCTCTTTAATAATCTTCCATCCCTTACTTCTTGTCTTGCCCCCAGGTGCTGTTGGAGAATAGATCAAATCGCTCTTCTCGGTGACACCCCTTGAAGTACTGAAAGCCTATCATATCATCTCTAGTCCTTCTCTTTGTTAGACTAGACATACTTCCCTAAATTGTTCATCTTCCTTATCTTCCTTGTTGCTCTTCTCAGCATTTTTTTTGTATTGTGGTGAGCAGAACTGGATACAGTATTCCAAATGTGAACTCATCATCTCAGAAAGTGGTAATATCACTTCCCGTGATCATAACTATCCCTCTGTTGATGCTTGCAATAACCAGCAAGCTTCACAGATGAATGATCAGTTTGGACATTAATCTTTTAATCCTTCCTCTAAAAATATTAACTTCAACCAGAAGAATTCCAAATATTACATTCATGGATTAACATATCCCACTCTGATTAAGTATTAGACATTTGTGTTGTTATTTACACTCTTATACCTGTCCAGTCTTTTTCTAATGTCAAAATTTATTTTTTAAATCTATCCTATATATACAATTAGCATTTTAAATATTTCTCACAGACAACAATTCTATCAAGGTGCTAAATACTTTCAAATTGTGCTGCTCAAGAACAATTAAATATTATCTCCAACTTTTGCAGTTCAGACTATATTCATTTTTATTAAGAATCTGCTTTTGTGTTTATGAACACCCCTTGTCTATCAAGTCAAACTATAAATAGACATAATAATAACACAGCCATGTATTGTGAAATTCTGAACAGCTTCTTCCAGATTACCAAAGAGGAACAGAATATGGCAGACAATGTCATTCTGTATGTGTCTGCTCAGTAATAAGCACCTTGCATTTAAAAATACTAACTCCTAGATACATAAAGTATTTCAGCTTTCTTATTATTGTTTCTTATCTTGATTTCTTTCTAGCCTATTTGCCACTTCATCCTAAAATTTATGAGAACGCAACTGTTTTAGTCTTGAACAGACATCATGGAAACTTTCAGTATTAGAAGTAACTGGATTTAGAACTAAAAGTTTGTATTTTTAGACCTCTGGGTGACAGTTTGACTGCTGGATTTGTACTGGTGCCATGCTAATAAAGAATTGGTATGGGTTTAGTATATTTATTGCAATGGAGCACTTGAAACAAGAGCAAAAGGAGTGAGCAAGATACTATGAACTATCTGGGAATTGCTCTTACCGAGAAACTATGCAGAATCACCAAATATAAGCTACAAAGGATGTACAGATATGCATGTCTCTTGAGGCCATTTTTAATCATTTTCTTTTTATTTCTTCCAACCCAATGAACTGTTGGAAATATATTATGTAAAGGGGGGGTTGAAACTCTGTTCAGTTGTCTGTCTTTTGGCAGAACAAGTCTCTGAAAACTGAACAGAAAGGAGCCAAGGTGTCTGTAGGGGAAAATACCAGCAAAAGAAAGACTGAATTTAAAATGGGTCAAATTGAGCCAGGAGTTGTGAAGGAAAAAAAAATGAGAAAAGCACCATAATACAAGTGTGGCAGTTCATCCGTCATAGAATCTAGCAACCAACTAATATTAACTAACACATTTTCAAGTAATAATTCAGAACAAGTTTTGGTTCAGGGTTTCAAAAGAGTTTTTGGTAATTTCTCTTAAAGCAATTAAAAAACTTTGTGCATACAATAATGGTGACTGCAGTGAGTGAAAAATATCCATACTAGTCACAGATCATCCTCATTAAACAATGGTACAAATGGAAAGGCCTAGTTTTCCTTCCTCTTTTCATCATCTGCATCACTGAATTGAAGGTGTATTCACCCCATTTTTCATTATAGCTAGTTTTGCCTCTGTAGGCTTTGCAACAAACCAAAGCATTAAAGTCATTTAATGGCTTTTTATTTTAAATCATAGCACTCTGGGGAGGAGTTCATGTAAGCAATTACAGTGAAGACATTGACAGTCATCAGCTGAGGCTCCTTTGTTATTTAGATTACAACTTGGTCCTTGAGATAATAGTATGAGTCACATGCTATTACCGTAGTGTGACTTTAGCCTAAAACAGTGGTTCTCAACCTTTTTAATGCCGCGACCCCAACCGGTCATAAGTCGAGGACTAAACCGGTCGTAAGTCGAGGACTACCCAACCGGTCGTAAGTCGAGGACTTTCCCTGCCCGGGAGCGCCGCACATGCGTGGTTCCGTCCTCTGCGCCGGCCGAGGCGTAGCTGGCAAGCGGCAGAGACGGAGCAGGCCAACCACCAGCTGGCCCAGCTGGCCCAGCCCAAGGGAGGTAAGGCACCCGCCAGAAAAGGGGAAAAAATGGCAAACAAAAAAATGGCGGACAAAAAAAATGGCGGACAGCCTTGCTTGGCGACCCCCGTGAAATGGTCGATCGACCCCAAATGGGGTCGCGACCCACAGGTTGAGAACCACTGGCCTAAAATGTGGCCACCACTTGAGCTTCCGTAGCTTGTACTGTAATGCATAGATTCAATTTTTTAGCCTTGTACCACCAAATTCTAATTCCATCCATGCATTTCTCAATTGCTCTTACATTTTCCTGTATATTTAGTAGCAGCATACTATACTTAAAACACATTCCCACCTCAACATTTTGTTTTATAAACCTCTTTTCTCAATATGCCTATACAAACCTTCTGCAGAACATTTTCATTTGATACAATATTACCCTATTCTCCTGGTTTTTTTTTTTCTTTTTTCCTCTTGTCTTTTATTTTACATACAGTACTACAAATGTATTTTTGCAAAAGCTGTAGTGTGGGTCAAATTTTAGGCTGACATAAAGGCTCCCCCCATATTGCCAATAGAGCATTTCATATTACATTTAGGAATAAAATAGAATAACAGCTGGAAGGGACTTTGTAGGTCATCTAGTCCAACCCCCCACTCAACAGGAGACCTTACACCATTTTTGACAGATGGCAGTCCAGTCTCTTCTTGAAAGTTTCCAGTGATGAAGCTCCCACAACTTCTGAAGGCAAACTGTTCCACTGGTTGACTGTTTTGAAGCTTTAAGATAAATAGATATACTAAAGAGTCATAAACCAACATGAAAGCAATACAAGAATATACATCTCATTGACCAATTAACATTACAAGAAGTCTAATTGTGGATAATTGCTTGTTTTTTGTTTTTATAAGTTTTATCTGAGAAAATATGCCTTGTTTTCGAAAGGGGAAATTCTATGGCAAGATATGCTAACCCATATATAGTAATCTGGGAGTAAATTCCAATAAATTCAAAGGCACTTTTCTTTGATAGGCCCACATAAGGTGATAGATTTGCACAATGATGCTATTTACTGAAATGACTGAGGAATTCTGATATAAAGAGGAACACTTTTTAAATTTTTTAATTATTTTTAAAAAGAACTTGCTTGTAGCTAGAAATTCTTGGACTGAACTGTGATTTAAAAATCTCTTCCCTTTCCCCCCATCAACCATTACCCACTTTTCTTCCTTCCTTAACATTTTTAAAATATCAGTTTACATCAACAAATCAAACTGGCTCTGAAACCGGTCCGGTTGGAGGGGTGAGGGGAGGAGAGTCACTGCAACTCAGTTCAAGCTTGTAATTGTGTATATGTTTACCAGCCAGACCAGGTTTAAGGCTGGCTTAACTGAAATCACTTATGAGCATCAGAAATATTATCTGGTCTTCAAAACTGAGGTCAGAACACAATGACAATGAATCAGGTCATAAGCTGCACAAAATAGAAATCAAACAATGGTAAAAATATATTGGAGATTTTCTCACCGCCTGCATATTCAGGCTTCATTGCCTAGAAACTTTAAA